GGCGGCCCGCGGCACTCCTAAGGAAGACCACAGCTTCGGGTAGGAGGACACCGGGCTCAGCGAGCTGAGGTGCCCGATGAAAAAGGCCACCTGGCCCAGGGCCTGTCAGCCTCCGAGGAGGGAGCAGGGTACCAGGGCAAACCCAGCTCCCTGCTAATCTGCGCCAGGCTGCGGTTCGACGGGGGATCGAAAGGGCCGGGCGCGGGTGAAATGCCCCTTTACAGGCCTGTCCCTGACCCCGGCACCGATTAGCAGCCTGCTCCCTTTTGGGCCGAAGCAGCGTTATTTGACCCAAAGAGAAGCAGGAGGGATTCCAGGGGGAAGGGTGAGACTGGAATGCCAAGGACTCATTCTCTGAAGGGGGGGGGGGTGATTCCTTGCAACCCTGTGGCATTTAAGTTTCGTGTGTGGAGGGGCTGGGGGGGGGGAGAGGAGCTTTGAACCGTGTGTGTGTGTGTGTCTGTGCATTTTCTTCAGACGAAAGTGGATTAAAAACTGGGGGGAGAGGGAGAATCCCAATTTATCTCCAGAGCTCCGTGCGAATCTGCGGTTTGGAGAGAGCTGCCCGGCTCACTAGAGGGACTCATTAGCAGTCACTTAGTGGATCCATCATGTCATCTCACCGCAGGAAATGACCTGATCTACGGTTTGGGTCTAAACGGTTTCCAAACTTGTCCCATCAGCACAAAGATGTGTACGCGCCCAACTGGCTCTCCAGATGTAAAGGGCTTCTGCGCGCTCAGGCTTAGGATGCGCCTTCCTCTCTGGTTCCGGGTCCTGCGTTTATATCTTGTTGTTTAAATGTTAAATGTGCGTTTCAGAGAGAAGATGGGCGAGATAATAACTGGACCGACTCTTGGAGAGAGAGAGACGCGCGTTGGAGCTCACGCTGAGCTCTTCTTCAGGTCTGAGCCGTCCTCCCTTACAAATAGCTATTCAGTACATTTTATTATACCCGGGTTATAAAAAATGCTGATGAGGGATGGTTGTATAAAAAGACTTCGGGTTTAAGGTAATTTAATGAATTCCACCTACCCACACATCCATCCACCCGCGGATTTAATAGAGAGTCTAGTGATACGATAATCGCAGCCGAGCAGAGGTCAGATTACAGGGCGTTTTACTCCGAAAATGGTCCCGCTGGGGCCAGATTCTGCATTCCTGACAAACCTCAAACCCTCAAGCCCCCAGTGGGCTCCATGGAAGAGTGGGGTGCACAAGAAATTCTGGACAGGTTCACTGCCGGGATACACACAAAGCTTCTCTCTTTCTTCCGCTGTTTTTTTTGCCGTTAATTCCAGACTCCCTTTTTCAGACAGAGCCAGCGTGGGACCCACCCAGCCCGGGGCAGCGTGTGCTCCTAAAAGCTTTGTGTCGCGGTGTCCTTTCCCACCCGTGGACTTCACCCGGTTATTTGCTCCTTCCCCCATCCGGGGCTAGAGTGACCTTCCTAATCTCTCCTCTTTCTGTGCGGTCAGAAGTAACGCCGTTTACAAAGGAGGAGATCTCAGCTCCCAATCCCCGGCTGGATCCAGACAAAAAGGGCCCCGGTGTAAGTACAAATGCGACTCCAGTTGAAGCTATTGGGAGTTGGCTAGACACAGGATCGGGCCCCTTAGAACGTCAGCTACATATGTTCCCACCTTGCTTTTCCAACCGCGCCCGGTTTATTTGTGTGCTTAGGTAAAGAGCAAGACTATTTTCAGCCGAGGTTACACCAGTCAGGAATACTCCGGCCGGGAAAATCAACTTGCAAGAAGGCACCTTTTGTGCGTGCGGGCAAACACCGGGCAGGCTGATCACACACCGGCGATGTTAAACTGATTCTTCCAAATGCCAGAGTTGCAAACACCTCCACTTTTGCCATATTAAAAGTGATCAATCTTCCGTTCTCAAAGGCTGGAGACAATCCTTCATTATAATCCGCCTCTGATCCATGAAAAGGTCGGGGTTTTGTCGCACACAGAAAAGCACTCTCCCCGCTGAATTATCCAGCCATTAGTGGCTGTCCCTGAATAAATAGAATTTCACAAGCCCCGTATTTCATCGAACAACTGGGAGTTTGTGCGCGCTCGCTAGGCCGGTACAGTTTTCCTTTATCCTAATGATGATGTTGGAATTTTTGGACTCCTCTGGTTATTAACCCAGCGTGTCATGGCATGGTGAGTGGCAGGGCTGCTTGTTAGAGCGAGCTGATGAAGTGACCAATCCAACACTCTTTACTTAAAAAAAAATCCCTTGACATCAGGAGGAAATTCCTGCCTGAGTGAGAACTGCAGGACTGTGCCCCGATCCCCAAGGGTTTTCTGACGGATGGGTGCGTCGATAGGTAAATAAATAACTGGCATGTAGACAGAGCGGCATTTTCTCAGGGAGAGGCTGGGGGCTGACCTGGATCCGTATGAACCTTGCATGCCGATCCCTCCAGGGACTGACACGCATAGCACCCACCTCCCCCACAAGGGCTCCACAGAGATTTCTGGGAGCTGGAGTGCTGCTTCACCCGGTGACATGTTTCTTTCAGTTTTCCCATTTGGGGCCTGATCCTGCTTCCAAGGCAAAATGGGAAGGGCGGAACACAGCGCCTAAAGGAGAATTATTTTAGAGCTGGATCCTGAAAACACCCAAATCCCATTCTTAGAGAGTGCTCTTCATCTGAGTGAAGTTACTCACTTTAATAAGTGCCTCTAGGATCAAACCTTCCTAATTCCCCTTTGTGACACAAATTCTTCCCTTCCTCTCCTTTTCTCCTAGAAAACTGTTGCTTTCCCCCCACAAGTTAATTGTATCTTTTTTTCTGTTCTGAGCTGGATAAGCCATATCTCATTAGAGAGGGAGAGATTTAACATGAACTCAAAGCAGGCTTCTTGACGTTAAAGAAAAGGAATCCCTAATCAGCACAGTATATATTTTGTATAATTGCTCCTTGGCATTTTCCCCACCCCCTTTTCTTGCTCATTAAAATGAAGGAAAAGTGGGAGGCAGGGGAGCGGGGGATGTTCCCAGTGTGTTTTTACAGGACAAGAGAAACCAAAGCCTGTTTAGGTTTATAAAAGATCTGTAGAACCAGCTCTGTTAAGCCCCGCCCCCTTGCTAAAATGTATTAGGGTTTGTTTTTCATTGAGATTTAAGATCTAACATTGGGGTTAGATTTTCCAGGGGGGTGGGGGGGAGAGGGATCATATAGTGCCCTGAAGTTAACTTTGCAGTTTCTTCTTACAGTGGCTGAAGCCAAAGGAGCTTTGCCGATTTATACCAGTTTAGAAGCTTGCCCCCACAGCCCACATAAAATTAGAGCTGTGAATTTCACTGCCCTGGTACAGAGTCCAAAGGCCTCCCCCCCTCGGGGATCAAGAAATGTTTGAGTAAATCACCTATTTCACATGGCAAAATAATACTTGCCTTCCACTATGCCTTGCAAGACAAACATTGGGGGCTAGATTAGATGACCCTTGTGATCTTTTTTAATGCTATGATTCTGGCTTAGTTGTTAGTTACTGCTAATTATTGCAAGTGCTTGGGAATATTATAAGTATTGGATTTTGTTCAAATTCCATTGTCAGATGTCTCTTGGGCGATTCTGGATCTTGTTCTTACACAGACACAGACACAGACACAGACACAGACACGTGCAGTCCTGTTTATAGCTCTTCTCCTTTTTGCATACAACTGGAACTTGGCCAGCACCGCTGCATTGCTCCCACTTATTTCCAGACCGTGTGGAAGCAAGGCGGCTGGGTAGGCCAGAGTCAGGAGTGAGTATGCTTAACAGACCACTATGGCTGCAAATTGTCCCAGTGCTTCCCTCTTGTGTGTGGTATATTTCTGTGTATATCTCTCCCTGACCCCATGGGATGCCTCACCCCAGGAGAATTGTTAGTAATGTGTCTGTGGTGGAGCTGCACTGTAGAGAGCCAGTCGATAGCAGGAGCTCAGGTCCAGAGTTAGTGTTAGAGAAACACTGGGCTCTGGGCATCCAGCTCCAGTTTCCTACCATCCTTGAAGATCTACCAGGTTGGGACAGTATTTTCCAAGGGAGATGAGGGAAAACACAACACCATTAGCAGGTTGATGGGAAGGGGCATGGGGGAGTCCCAAAGGAAGTCCTCCTGGAGATTTCTCTCCCTTGACTCCCATTGCTTAAGTTTTCTATGAGAAGGGATCCAGGACTTGTACATTATACAAATACTAGAAGACTTACCCAACATTGCCTTGGTCCTTCAGGGCAGGGGGCTGGTGGTGTGGGAGGTTGCAGGAGTCAGGGTGAGAGGCTGAGGAGGATCTCAGGGCAGGGGGCTAGGGATGTGGGGAGGTACAAGAATGAGGGTTGGGAGGGTGATGAACGGCTCAGGGTGCAGGGTCCCATCCAGTGGGGCTTTCCCTCCCCAGCTGGCAGGGGCGTTCTCTCTTCTGTCAGCCTCTCAGCCAGCAGGGGCTTTCTGTCTCCCCTCAGTTTTCCTAGCTGGCAGGAAACTAAACTCTTCTAAACTCATGCTGGGATTTTCCCAGAGAAGATAGCGAGTGCTAAAACTTGCATGGGCACACACTGTATTCCCACAAATGTTACTGAAGGGGGTATTGCTCCTGGTCTTGCCAGGAAAGACTGGTAGCATGACTCCAAAAAACTTAAATGATGCCATGATGAACAGACTATCCATGGAACAGTGCGAAGGCATTAGCTCTTTGTGGATACCCTGACATTCGCTTATTTCCCCAAGATTTGAAGGGAATCTGCAGACCAGCAGAGCCAGGTCCTGCCCACTCTATAGCGAGAACCAACTCTGACCTCTGACATACAAGCACATTACATTTTCCACTTGATGTTGGTCTCCTGCAGGTTTTTATGATTTGCACCTGAGACAGTTATTCACAATAGTTATTTTAATTGTAAAGATTCCAAGAAAATGGACTGAATCTTCAGCTCTAGTTGAGCTGTACTTGGCACAGCCGAGAGGTAAATGTGTTTCTTATGCCAACTTTATGCTTTCACTACCAGCTCGTGTGGTTCATTTGCCCATCAGTGCAACTTAGAGCACCCCCAGAACTGATCTAAATTTTGGTAGCTGGTAATGCCCACTCCCTCCCAAGCCATTGCCTATTGAAGATCATCAGAGATCCATAGCATTCCAGACATGCCACCTACAGAACGAGCTTTATGCCATCAATATGTCACCTGAGAAGCCCCCTTCCCCCGCATATGTGCACACACACATCTCCCCACACACACACTAGTCAACGCATTATCAAGATGTGACATCCTGTTGGTCCTTGATGTATCCTGAAATTGTATGTTTTCTTCTGGCCATCCGGCTGTTAATCTGAACTCTGAAGAGTATCTGAAACACAAAGTACTACATTGATTTGCCCACATCAACTTTCTGTCTGTGTAAAATTTTCCATGGGAGAAAATGTTGGGGTCCAGGATATTAGTATCATTTGCACTGTAGCATTGTTTGGTTCACACATGATATAATTTTGGATCAAATGCACCATAGGTCAAAATAAGATATGCAATTTGAGCTATGTAAATTGCATATCTTATTTCGATGTTATTGCAAAATAGCTAATTTTGAAATTTTGCACTGTCTACGCAGCACTTATTTTGAAATAAATCTCTATTCCATAACATCCCTTACTCCTTGTGGAATGAGATTTACAGGGACATTGGAATAGCAAGCCTGTTATATTTTGAAATAATGGGTGCACTCAAAAGACATGGAATAGCTATTTTGGGATACCTCCATATTCTTAAATAGGGCTGCAGTGTAGACCTAACCCAATTGTGCAACACAAACTCTGGACTTTGCTGTACTGTTTCAGTCCAGGAAAAATAAATAATTGTAATAGGATATTTTGTATTTTATTTACTAAATAGGTGCCTGTGGCTGGCAATAACATACACTTCTTTTTATTGACAGACCATATACAGTCAGGAAGCTGCAGTGTGAATTTCCCTAAGTTGCCCTGTCAATAACCTCAGTCTTGACCTTCAGGGACCACCCTCTGAAGGGGTCAGAGTTAGTTCATTGATCCTACACCAGCTCAGTCTGAGCTTTCTCTTGAGTCAGAGGTAGCCACTTGTGCTGAATTGTATGATCACCCTTTGTTCTTATTGTTAAGACCAGAACACAGTATTATAATGTGAAAAACATATAAGTATATTCAAAACTACTGGCCACATAATGGAAACAAGATAACTGGTTGCTAACAGATTTATGGTCATAGCCATATGATGATGTGGTTTATTGCTCCTAGAAGGGGTCCAAGTTTGTTTCTAATTTTAGAAATAAGTGTGGGTAACTACTTTGGCTACACAACTGCTGAAAGTAGGATCTAGTAATTTTCAGGACTCATAATTAATTGTTTGCATGACCACATTCTTTGTTGTGTGTACTTAGGAACATTAGCCAAGCAAGGGACCCTATTGTTGTAGGCCTTGTACAAACGCAAAACATAAAAACACTGCTGTAAATGGTACAACTTCTTTCTTTTGTATTTGTTTGAACCAAGGAAGTCTCTTCTGTTCCTCTAGAAACAGCCCATTTCTTTCTGCAGCACTCTTGGATTCTTCTTCCTTTCTTTGTTTTAGGAGCAGATGGTAGCAACCTCTGCACCACAGACATTCAGTTAGTTTTCCTCTGTGGTAGTGTCACTGGTAAACAAGTTTGGCATAGCCAAATGTACAGCCCTCTAGAGGAATAGGGGAATTATACATATGGTTGCCTGTAAATCCTTCCGGCACTGTGGGAACCTATTATATTTACCCATCTATCTTACGCTATGTAGTTTGTCATTTCATTATGCGGTAATTTTATATGTCTTATCAGACCATCCATTCATCCTTCTTTTACACTGCCAAACTGGAGCATATTTACTTCATTCCAAATGTGTTCCTTGTTCTGATTTGTCCCTTTACTGAGAACAGCTTGTAATGTCACCCTGTTCACTCCTATATGCCTATACTGCCATCTACTGCAGGTTAGAGGAGTTACAAGCACACATTTTAAAAGAAGGAGCAGTCAGTCTCTGCTGTCACAGGACTAACACTTTTATTAGGGCATGAGCTTTTGTGGGTAAAATCCACTTAATCTGATGAGTCTGAAAGCTCAGACCTAATAAATGTGTTAGTCTCTAAGGTGCCACAGGACTGCTTGCTGTTTCTAAAGTTACAGATTAACATGGCTACCCCTTAGAGCAGTGTTTCCCAACCGGGGTTCCATGAACCCTGGGGTTCCAAGGACCATTATCAGGGGTTCCATGAGAAATCATGGAATAAATAATGCTGGGTGGGGCCTGGAGCATCTGTCATGCCCTTCGCCTTCCGCCCTGGCTCTCGGCTGACTTCTGCGCCGCGCAGGAGCAAGCAGCGCAAGCCACGCTCCAAACGGCCGCTTACGCTGCTTGCTCCCACGTGGCGGCCCAGATGAGCAGTGCAGAAATCAGACGAGCGTCAGGCTGGGAGCCTCTGTCACGGCCTTTGTCTCCCACCCTGGCGCTCTGCTGACTTCTGTGCTGCTCAGCGAGGGGGGCCTACAGCCTCTGTCATGGCCTTCGCCTCCCACCCTGGCACTCAGCTGACTTCTCCACAGCTCAGCCGGGCTGCCACGCAGGAGTAAGCAGCCATTTGGGCTCCGCAAGTGAGAGGCAGGAGGGGGAGGAGAAGAGAAAGAGAGAGTGAGGCAG